TGACCTTGCAGTTCAAAGGGACTTTGCAGTCCAATGCATTAACCCACAGTGTCACACCAAGACTAATTGGTGGGGCATATCTTCCAGTAATTCCCTCAAAAAGAGTTCATATGAAACATATTTACTCACATTTGACACCATTTGGCTTTTTATAGAATATGAGTTGGAGTACATTTTTTCCTCAGAATTTGTAAGGCATTGCTCTAATGTCTTCTAATTTCTGGTAATGCTCTTGAGAAATTGAATCCTATTATGATTCCAGATACTCTATGCGACCTCATTTTTCACTATGGAACTTCTAGTACTTTTGTCCTTATCCTCAATGCTCTGAAATTTCATGATGGTGTGCCTAAGCGGGTTTTTCTTGTGTGTTTTTTGTTTTGTTTTATTTTTTCATTATTAGTTGTGCACTAGAAATTGTTCAAATTGAAAACTCATATCCTTTAGCTCTATAATATTTTCTTGAATTATTTCTTTGAAAAGTCTCTCCTCACTTTTATAGTTCGTTCCTTTATTTCTAAAACTTTTAGATTTCAGATGCTAGACTTCCTGGGAGAGTTCTCTAGATGTCCTTATCTTTTATCTTCCATTTTCCAACTTTTTTCTTTTGTTCTACTTTGTAGGACACTTTAAAAAAGAATGTCTTCCAGCCATTTTCACATGTCCAATCCAGACACACCAACCACACCCTTCCAGTTGCACAATCATCACCACTCTCCAGTTCCAAATCTTTCTCTTTCTCTCTCTTCCCTTTTTCCATCTTCTTTACTCTCCCTTATTTTAATTCATGGGAATGTTCCCAATGGTTTGCCCTAATGAGAAAATAAGTATATATGGCGTTCTTTCCAGTATATGAAAAACAAAACAAACATATATCAAAAACCAAACCAAAATAAAAACAGACAAAAAAAGATGCAATTTCTCTTCCTTTTCTTTTTAACTGCCTTCCCCACTACCCATCATGTGTCTACACTTGCTGTTAAGTGCCATTGAGACAATTTCGACTCTTAGTGGCTTGAAACTTTCGTGGGAGCAGAAAGCCTCATCTTCCTTTGTGGAGCATCTGGCGAGCTCAAACTTTGAACCTTGTGGTTTGCAGTCTAGTGCTTATCATATGGAGCCATGCTACCCAGTGAATAATCCTCCCTTTCCTCTGTCACCTGGTAACCATTAGAGAACATTTACTATAGAATGAAAAACTTTTCTTGATTTCTTTTTTTTTTACAGTAATTTTACTCAGCATAACGTCTTCTAGGTCCTTCCATGTTATGCGGTGTTTTGCAGATTCACCTCATTCTTCAATGTTGCAAAATATTCCATTACGTGTACGCACCAAAGTTAATTTAACCATTCTTCTGTTGATGGGCATTTAGGCTGTTGCCAGTCTTTTTGATACTGTGAATTGTGTTGCAATGAGCATGCGTGTGCCCGTATCTATTTGTGTCACAGCTTTCATTTCTTGAGGTTATATACCAAGTAGAGGGATTGCTGGGTCATAATGTATTTTTATTTTCAACTTTTTGATGAAGTGCCATACTGTTTTCCACAGAGGTTGCACCATCTTATAGTCCTATCAGCAGTGTAGGAGGGTCCAGTCTCTCCACATACTCACCAGCATTTGCTGTTTTCTGTTGTTTTGAACTTTGCTTATGAATTCTGGGATAAGACTATATCCCATAGTTGTTTTGATGTGCATCTCTCTAATGATTAATGGGAGTCCTGGTGTGGCGCTGTGGGCTAATGCGTCAGACTGCAAAGTTGTTTGAACTACATGGTCGGTGGTTCAAGCTCACCAGCTGCTCCTTGGAAACCCTAATCAGGGTCGCTATGGGTTGGAACCGACTCAATGGCACACAACACAATACAATGATTAATGATCATGAAAATTTGTTTGTTGACTGCCTGAATGTCTTTTTTGGTGAAGTGTCTGTTCATATTCTCTGCCCATTTTAAAATTGGATTATTTGTCTTTTTCTTATTGAGGTACTGAAATGTTCTGTATATTTTAGAGAGTAGTCCCTTGTCTGATATGTCATTGCCAATTTTTTTCCTCCTCTATCTCTGGATTCTCTTTTTCACTCTTTTGGTGCCAACAAGTGTCTAAATTTTAGATCCCAAGTACCTGAATTCACGATGGTTCATTTTGAAGATAAAGGTAATAAAATGTTGACTGGAAATGCTAGGAATTTAGGGATGACATGAGCAGATATCTGGATGTTTTATGGGGAGATTACAAAATTTCATACCTTTTCTCTTAGGCTCATCCCAGTCTACTGGCTTGGGGGTGTAAATGTGACTTCCATCAAAGAAGGTTGGGGAAAGAGGGCCTGGGATTTTACTTTGTAATCAATAGACTTCCACCTAAACTTCCTCTTCCATTTTGGAAGCCCATCACCCCTCATTCCCACCCTGCTTTATGCCGGGCATCTGAGACTGAAGGCTCTGGTTAATCTTCTCTAGAGAATACATTTACAGTCTTATGAGAGGCATTTAGCTTTTATATTTCACTCTTTTTCTAATCATCACTCCCCCTGTTTTTGAATCAGTCATCACTGAGCCATTTGTTTTCAAGTTTCTGAATTGTTGTTTCTATCGCTTCTCCAGAAATCATCTCGTCAGTTCTTGTCACCCTTGTGTTCTTACTCCTTTGTAGTTGCTTGCATGGGACTTGGGTTGAAACAGAGAGAACTGTGTGCCAACTGCCCTTTTAAATTGGAAGGCTCTCTCTTGAATAAGTTATAATTTTGATGAGTACCTACTCTGCTTTTTAAGTTTTAATAATAAGAGGTAAACAATAACTATTTGGTACTGCAGGATAATGCACTGGGTTTAAGATTGGTGGTTCAAACTTAACAGCTATTCCTCAGAAGTCCTATACAGGGTTGCTATGAGTCAGAACTGACTTGAAGGCACTTAACAGCAATAACATTTGCTGGCTCCAGGGTAAACTGGACTTATCCAATGTGTCAGCGCATTATTTTACCCAAAATTGGAGCACCTGTTACCTAGAATCTTATGTGCTCTAAGGCTATAACTTCTGAAAGGGCATCCAGTCATGCTGGAGAAATACAGCTTACAGAGGTGTTGGAATCCAAACAACAGTATCCTTTGGCCATTGGAAGAATATGGTTAATCGTTATTTTCAAAATCATTGACTGATTTTCACAAGGTGTATGGAGTCCTGGTGTGGTGCTGAGGGTTAATGAACCAGACTGCAAAGCCATTTGAACTGCAAGGTTGGTGGTTCAAGCTCACCGGCTACTCCTTGGAAACCCTATACAGGGTTGGTATGGGTTGGAACCGACTCAATAGCACTTAACAACAACAACAATGATAAAACAGAAGTTCTAAATAAATCTTTACTTATGGAAAAGGTCACAATTATGGAAAATTGATTTTTTTAAAACAAAACTAAATTGAATTTTTTAAAATAAAGCAAAACTTTAATTTTTAAATTTGTGATAAAATGACAGAAGCTATTAAAAAATTTAAAATGCCCCAGTTCATGTTTGTGTGTTATCTTTACTTGCATAGATGATAAAAGTCATCACAGTGGACATACTATTTTCCATTCTGCTTTCCCATGTTTCCAAATCTTCCTAGGATCATTTTAATCCATAGTATTTTACTCTGTTCAAGTGTCATGACTTACTAAGCTGTTCTTAGGCGATAAATTTATATAATTTCTATTTTGTTAGTTATCAGTGATGCAAAAAGAAACAAGAAAAACCTGTATCATAGAGGGTTTTTTTGTTCGATCTTTGGCTTTGCTGAAATTATTTAATAATTAAAGGAGTGGAATTTTAATAAGAAATCTGAATTTGCTAAATATATTGTTGTTAAATGCCATTGAGTCTATTCCGACTCACAGCGACCCTGGATAAGGTTCCTAAGGACCAGGTGGTGGATTTGAACTGCCAACCAAAAGGTCAATAGTCTCAACCACCAGCTACTTCTTGGAAACCTTACACAGGGTCGCTGTGAATTGGAACCAACTGAAAGGCACTTAACAACAACAACATAAATGCCACTAAAGCGATATACAAATTAGGCAGTATTTCACAATCTGTTTAAGAATGTCTAGTTACATTTCTTTAAAAATTTTTAAGTTTACAAATCTAGAAATCAATGCTTGAAAAGCAGAATAATGTAATACTCACCATATTCAAACGCTAACTGATGGCAATCACCACCACCACCATCATCCACAGCAAGCAGAAAACTAATAGAAGTGCTTCCCATTTATCTAAGAATTAAAAAAAGAAGAAGAAGCATAAGTAATTAATCTAAATATTGACTAATTCTGAGTTTGAGATCTTTTTTCTTTGCATCTATGAATAAACAGTGAATTTGTGGGAAACGTGAAAATAGGCAGAATAATGCAGGAAATGGGTATTATCCTCATCTTACAGAATATACATTCTCTGTAGAAATAAAAATATTCATTTGGAGAAGAAATTAAAACAGTTACAGAATGAGTCATTTTAGTAACTCATCCTTTGCCAAGAAAGGTAGCTAAGTGCTGTGAAGATCTATAGGCTTTTAAAGCCAGTTTTCTGTTAGTTTTTCATGAGCTTTTTGTCCAGAGTATCAATCACTCTTGTTCCTGTGTTCAACATTCCAAGTTTCCTTGAATGGTATAAGGGTTCTTAATAACACTGAGCATTTAGTTCATATGCCTGCATTGGATGAGATTTAGAACCAGTCATTATGCAAAATGAGTTATCTAAATGTAGTATTTTTGCTTCTACCATTAATTAAGACATTGAAAGGAAATGTGCAAAGACTTAAAAAGACAATCAATCTGATCTTCCATTTTTCCAACATAATAGAGATTCCCTTTCAAATTCCATATCCTAAGAGGACTGAACACAGCCCATCAAATATTTTCTGAGGTTTCCTTTTGAATCTTTCTAGTAACATCCTGGAACGGAGCACTATTTCTAATAGGAGCACTAAAGATGCCCAGACAACTAATTAACCTTTACTCATTTTGACAGGGTGTGCGTGGACAAATTGGTGAACAGGGTTACCAAGGAGAGCGTGGAAATCCAGGCCAACAGGTTGTATCAATGAATCTGGTTTTAATGCTAATGGATTTTTCTTTAAAATGTTAACTTAGATTCTTACAGGTCACATTTTGATAGAGATTTAGTGTAAGCCAAAATGCCATTGGATACTTCTTGTCTTAGTTTTGTATTACTACTGTAACTGTAATAGCACAAGTGGATGGCTTTAACAAACAGAAATTTATTCTTTCACAGTTTAAGAGGCTAGAAGTCCAAATTCAGAGTGTTGACTCTACTTTATTGGTACAGACTTTATTAGTTCTGGGGAAATGTCCTTGTCCACTTCCAGTATTTGTAGACCCAGCATTCCTATGTGTCTTGGTATTAATGTGCAGACCCAGCAATTTCTATGTGTCTTGGTATTAATCTTTCCCTGGATCTAGGACCTTCACGGAGTCCTGGTGTGGTACTATAGGATAAGCACTGGACTGCTAACCATAAGGTTGTCAGTTCAAACCCACTAGCTGCTCCTTGGAAACACTATGAGTCTGAACTGACTCAATGGTGGTTAACAACAACAGGAGCTTCATCTTTCAGGACTCCAGGCCTAAGGGTCACACTCTATTCCCAACTCTGCTTGCTTATTTAATCTCTTTTATATCTAGAACGAGCTAGACTTGAGACACAATTGGGTAGATTCATCTGGCTGACCTCGTTAACATTATAGAAGAGAGAATTTACAACACATAATATAATTACATCAGGTTAGGACTGATCATATTAGATCACATCATGGGACTGATTGCATCATATTAGATATTATCAAAGGGATTTCTACATTTTAACTGTTAAACCACTGAGAATCCAGGCCCAGTCAATTTGACAGAAAACTTTAGCTATCATACTTCCCTTCCAGGGTCTCACAAAGCAAAAATGTATGGCCCTACTTCTGGAAAGTTGTAAACTACACAGGCAATACTTATTGAACTCTGACTATGCCCTAGATACTACCGTAAATACTTGCCTTATATTCACTTGTTTTAATCCTTCAACAACCCTCTAAGGAATGAGATTCTATTATCTTTATTTTACATGAAGGAAATGGAGAAATGGAGAAGTTAATTAAACTGACCAAGGTCACACAGCTAGTAAAAAATAAAGGTGATATCAAATTCAGGCAATCTAACTCTAAAATCTATGCTCTTAATTACTGCCTCTGAAGTTATATATTCAAATTATTCACATGGTATTTAATTCATTGTACTTTAGTTGGCAGGAAAAATCATCAGCAACGTTTTATTGAGTCTCTAGTATTCATGGGGCCCTCTACTAAACACAGGGCACTCAGATCATTAAGACAAAGGTCTTGTCCTTAAGGAGTTTAGACTAGTGGGTATTGTAAACTTTTCAGTGATAACTGAAATTTAAACTTACAACCAATCCTTTTGGAATCCTCTAAGCATAACCTAAAGCTGCCATTCTGTAAGTCCTTATGGGACACTTCCTATATCTTTCTTTTTGAAGTCAACATGTTTCCAAGTATCCTCAAGTGAAAAAACTTTATTTGTTTTTGGTTTTTATTATTATGGGTGAGAGTCCCGTGGTGGTACAAAAGTTTAATACAGCACTTGGCTGCTAATTGGAAGTCCTTGTCTCCTTAAAGTCCATCCAGAGGTACCTTAGAGGAAAGTCCTAGCAATCTACTTTAGATAAACCAGTCATTAAAAACTATGGAGCACTTGTATTCTGACACACATGGGTCACGGAGTTGGGACTGATGCAACAACTGGTTAGTTGTCACTATGGGTCCTGAGGTGATGAACAGACCAACTGCCCTTTTTCTCTGTCCTGCCTTCAAGAGAGGAACCAGCAGATATGGTCAGTCAGCAGCCCATGTCTAAAGTAAGGTCTCTTGACTTGAAGCACTGCCAGTACTCTGTGGATCATTTTATTCAGATCTATTCCAAAGGCACTCTGGTAGCATAGTGGTTACAAATCGGGCTGCTAACCTCAAGGTTAGCAGTTGGAAACTACCAGTGGTTCTGCAGGAGAAAGATGAGGCAGTCTGCTCCCATAAAGATTTACAGCATTGGAAACCCTTTGTAGGGTCACTATGAGTCGGAACCAACTCCATGGTAGTTAACAACAACATTCCAATTGACCAGAGGACTCAAAATCTGCAGCTAGGATGACTCAACCTCTTACACAGCAGCTGAATACCAGATCCCTCAGGGTTGTTGGCAGAGCTCAGTCAGGCTTTGGTTGACTCCCAGAGTGGAAGAAAGAGCCTCCCATGCTTGGGCTATCAAGCCACAAGTGTCTGACGGTTAGGTGGCCAGAAGTGTGAATTCAGGAGAAAGCCTACTTTCTGTGCAGGCTCTGGAGGAAAGTCCTGGTCTTTTTTGATGACCTTCAGGTGGCTTGGCTTCTCTCTTCCTCCATCTCTGTTCCTTGCTTAAAAACAGTTTCTGGAGTTGGCAAAGTAGAAGGACTTTAAAACAATAAACTGAATTAACATTGAATCATTCTCTACAAGTCGTTAAATATCCTATGAGTGTCAGGTGATAATTTGAGAAAGTCCCTGCTGTCTTTAGATTTGACTAAGGAACTAAGGAAAGGAATGAAAAATCAAGGTGAAATTATTTCATGATAGAAAGTACCTCAGGACTCAGGGGAAAACAATCCAAAGATAAAAAGTTTTCATTTTTCTTGATCATAGGTTTAATTCAAATTTGCATCTTCCTCCCCCGGGGCCTTCTCACTGTTGTATTCCTGACTTTCCCCTTATACCTACTATATTACACTGCTGGGTGCAAGGGAGCACACCATGTTGGGACCATGAGCAAGAACATTATTAAAACCTCTCCTTAATTCTCATTTCTGCAAAAAAAAAAAAATGGCATGGGGATGGTATCTGACTTCACAAGTGGGGAGAAGGAAAATTACCATCAGCATTCACCCTTAATTGATTCCTAAGGAGGCTGAGTTCAGACATGCCTCCAGACTTCTATCTTTTCTGCCAAATCTAACCAATCATCCCTCCTGCAGCACTTTCTACTCAGCTGGGTTCAATAATCAATTGCAATGGCCACACAGAACTCAGGCACCATACTCACATGTATCGGGTTTATTAGGGAAGCTGTTGTTGTTGTTGTTGTTAGGTGCCATTGAGTTGGTACCGACCCATAGCGACATTATGCACAGCAGAACGAAATACTGCCTGATCCTGGGCCAACTTCACTATTGTTGCCACACTTCAGTCCATCGATGCTGCCACTTGGCCAATCCATCTCATTGGGGGTTTTCCTCTTTTTCTCTGACCATCTTACCAAACATAACATCCTTCTCCAGTGACTGCTCCCTCCTGACAATATGTCCAAAGTATGAGAGACGAAGTTTGGTCATCTTGACCTCTAAGGAGCACTCTGGCTGCACTTCTTCCAAAATGGATCTACTGGTTCTTTTGGCACTTTTAGTATTCTCCTCCAACATTAGGTAAGTTAACATGTTACAATTCAGGATTAGAAATGCTCAGGGCACAGGTGTTCCAGTCAGGGTACCCTCTCCTCAGTCATGCCCACAAGCAGGCCTCTCTCTGACCCTCAGTCCCTTCATGTGGCCTCTGCCCAACTCCAGCAATGTTACAAAGTTCCTTCAGTGTTGCTGATAAATGCCCAAAAGGCACTACACTTAATTAGAAGCCTCAATCTGAAGTCACTCAGTTCTAGCTCTGTGGTGCAGCAAACCTAGATCCTTAGTCAAATGCCTAGAGACACCTCATTCCACAGGTAAGCCTCCTGTGAAAAGATACTTAGTTTTACTTGCTCTGTGGACTGGGATGTCCACCCTCCGGAGCTCTGGCTCTGAGCTCTTCTACAGCTTTCTGTCGTTGGATTGAAGAGGTTCACTGTGTAAAGGGCATCCTTCATTCCTGGTTCTTCTTCCTTGACAGTAGTGAGAGCCTCTTTCCTGCTTCAGAGTGGGCTCATTTTATACCTGTGATAGTTAAAGCTGTGCCAGTTTTCCCAGTGGTGTGGCAGTTGGGAAGTAGTGATTTCCCATGATGAGATCTAATACAATGCAATGATTTCCATGAGGAAATCCAATATAGTGTAATCGCCTCCATGATGGGATTTTCTTTGAGCAGCCAGACAAGTGAAGGAAGGATTCAGAGGTGTGACCTCCAGAATCTTTCATCTTACATAGCTCAAAGGACAGAGAGGGACATACCACCACCAAGAAAGAAGAGCAGGAGTGGAATGTGCCCTTTGGGCCTAGGATCCTTGTGAAGTGAAGCTCCTAGATCCAGGGAAAGATCAATGCCATGACACAAGGAGCTCTCCAAGGAATGCTAGGCCTCTCAATACTGAAAGGAGAAAATTCAGACTTTGAAATAAGACTTCTAGCCTCCTAAACCTTGAGAGAATAAATTTCTGTTTGTTACAGCCATCCACCAGTGCTATTTCTGTTATAACAGTGTTACATAACTAAGACAATACCCATGTTAGAGTTCCAAATTTTCACAGTCAACCCTATTAATAATTACTCACAACTGAATGATATAATACTGTCAGCATCTCCCACCTTCTCTTATCTAGACACATCAGGAAAAAAAGTTGTTTGGTGGGCGTTCCAAAGACTATAGGTAAAAGAGGCAGATGAAGTAATTCACTTCCCACTGGGATGTTGACATGGTGGTCTACTTAAATAGATGGCTGTCAACACCTCACCTAGAAGAATCGAAGCACAGTCAATGCTTCTAAGAGGAAAGCATCTCTCAGTCAAGTTACAGAAAATTAAAGTGACAAAGACCAGTAAAATAAAATGGATTGGGGAGAAAACTAGCAACTACCCAGCAGTGTGCCCATGGAGACCAGGCTACTTAAATGTACCTTTGGTTCTTGGTCGAATTGTAAACATGCTGTCATGTCCTCAGCCTGTGACTATATCAGGAAAGGATTGATTCTTCAAAGGAGATCAATATCCTAGCAGTCTCTCTCATCCCCATTTTAGAATTACAAATTAATTGGGTGAATTAAAATATAAAAGCAATGTTCTCAAACGTCAGTGTTCAACAGATTCTCTTGGGGATTGTTAAAAGTTCAGATCCTGAGGACTCACATCCTTGTACTTCATTCAGATTTAGGGCGTGTGGAGCGAGAGCGCTAGGGGCTTTACAGTGCACATTCTACTTGATTCAAGTTTGATAAATGACCAGAGAACTTGAACTTGTACTTCCAACGGCATCCAACATGACTTTGCAGTTGTATGGAATGTAAATAGTTTTATAAAATTTTGTTGAATTTTAATTTCATCTTTGTACAGGGACCAAGAGGAAGGCAAGGGACACCAGGAGTTACTGGACAAAGAGGCTTACTGGGTGCTCAGGTAGGTCTGAGACGTTAACAGCAGCAACAGAGCTGCTCATGAACCATGGCCAGTTCATCCTCCTGAGTGTTCTTGGACAAATAACATAGTTACTGTGTTTGTTCTGGGATTTCTGAACATCATGTTTTTTAAAACCAAATAATTAATTCAACATAGAGAACATCAACCACCAGCTATGTACCTCCTTCTAGTCTACTACTATGGAAATGTAGTGATCAAGGATGTGTAATCAAGAACTCACAGCTCTTAAGTGTCTATGGTGCAAGACAAAAGATTAGTGGAAGTTATATTGTTGTTGTTAAACTCATTTATTTATGACAAATGTTTAAGGAACTGTTATCATCCCAATTTTGTAGTTGAGAAAACTGGAGCTCAGAGGGATAAGTGCTGAAATTAACTGACCTCTGACTCAGGACTTTCTAGTTTCTGCCCTGGTGGTACAGTGAGTTAAGTGTTAGACTGCTAACTAAAAAGTTGGTAATTCAAACCCACCAGCTGCTACACAGGAGAAAGATAAGGCAGTCTGCTTCCATAAAGATCTGTAGCCTGGCAAACCCTATGGAACAGATCTACTCTGTCCTATCCGATTGTTAGGAGTTGGAATTGGCCCAATAGCAGTGGGCGAGTTATTCTACATTACCACCTAATTTTCTGGGGCTTCACTGAAGGTGTAGATCAGTTGAGACAGATGATCAGACAGGACTTCCTGAAGAAGGGACTATTTGAGATAGCTTAGAAATGTAAATTTGAGATCTGACTTAAGAAGAGTGTCTTTACTGGAAATTCCAAATAGCAACTTCAGGGTAGCCAAAACCATAATTCTGTCCTCATTCTCTCCCCTAGTTTGGAAAACAGTCAGCCCCATAACTCACAGTTTCATTTTTAAACCATTTTGTTTTGTTTTTTTAATTTGGAGCAGATAAAAGGCCAGATATTTGACGACTTCATCTGTTAATCTAATGGTGATTTTCCACCCAGTAGTCGATAATCCCTCCAGTTCTCAGTATGTGGTTGACATAGTCTCACACAGAACATCTTACTCTTCCAGAGTTTCAGTGTGTAGATTATGGATTTGGTATGCTAGATGATAAGATTAATTGATTCTATAAAACATTCAACACTAACTGTATTATCTCCATGGTGATTCTTGAGACTATTACCAGCTCCAAACCTTGCAATAATAAGAGAGTCAGATATATAACTTGTGATGATTTTGGTGGTGGTCTTCTTGCAGGGGAATCCTGGGTCTCCAGGGACATATGGCTCTAATGGAAAAGAAGGGCCAAGAGGAATAAAGGTAAATGTCAGAAAACACACTCTTCCTTGACTGTGAGTTGGAGGAGACTCTTGGGTTGCCACACTGAACCTCTTTTTATGCAGTCATTTCCAGCATGAGATTTTAATGTAGTTGGTAATGATACTGACTGCCACTGCATTATATAGCTGGGTAGATGGATACAGAGAAGAAGAGACATATAGGAAGACAAAGAGAGCGATCTATATATGGTCATATATATGTATGTGTGTAGGTAAAGACAGGTCAATATAAATTTACCACCTCCACACACACACAGATCTAGAAAAAGCCATCATCATATAGAATTCTATAAATTGTGTTGCATCCTGGTTTTGCTCATTTTCAATATCGAAATCTTCACTGTATTTGTTAGTAGTTAGTTGCCATTGAGTTGGCTTGGACTCATAATGAGAGCATGTACAATAGAAGGAAGTATTATTTGCTCTGGTGCCAGTTATCCATAGCTAATTTTCAGAAGTAGATTGATCACCAGGCCGTTCTTCCTTATCTGTCTTAGTATGAAAGGTCTGCTAAATTCTGTCCACCATGGGTGACTCTACTGGTATTAGAAATATTGGTGGCTTAATTTCCAGCATCATGGCAACATGTCAGTCATCACTGTATGACAAACTTTATTTTTCAGTTAACAAAGCCTTGAGTTAATGATACCTAACAGCAACTACCAGGCAAAATATCTGACCTAAGATCTTGTGATGATGCTAATAGAACTCGAAAAGAATGACAATACAATCTTTATAGAAAATGACATGAAATCACATTAACACTTAGAAAGAAATCAATTTCACCTGTATGCTTTTTTAATGAAGGGAGAGCTTGGTGAAGCAGGAGACGAAGGCCCACGGGGACCACAAGGACCAAGAGGGCCACCTGTAAGTCTAGTTTTATGATTTTGGACTCTTGGTTGAATTTATTGTTACTTGTTTCTTTCTTCATGATAAATTCTGTTACTAATAGATTAATAGTAGGATGAATTATACTTGAGGCAACAAATATGACATGATCATTAAACCTGTGCTATATATATCTTTGTAGCAATAAAAAAAGAAAATTAAGTGAGACAAAGATTCTCAGACTCTTAATATAAAGAATTCAAAGATGCCTCAGGATTTATTTTGCCTTCTCACATGTGTTGAATAGGGACGTGCCAATGAACCACTTCTTTTTGACAAAGATATTTTACAAGCATTGCATCTTTGAGGAATACAGAGATGTTCCATGAAACCTGGTTTTCAAGGGCAACAAACAAAACAGTAGATCAGAGTTTAGACTTTTAAGGGTATGGGTGTGAGTACCCAGAATAAAGAAATCTTTGAAGACCAAGCATCATAAAAGTCTAGCTTCAATAGATAACACTTCCAAAGGTAAGGTTCTGTAGTTTTATCTTGGTCTTTACTCTGAACTTGAAAGCAAGTTTTATGAATATTTTCTCCACTTTGTTAGTGTTAGCTTTATGATACAAAGTCATGCTGTCTTTGTAGCATCTCTAGTCTCAGAGGTTTCTGTCACTAACAGTTGAGAAGAACCTACAGTTTTGGCACTCAGCCCTGAAATAGCATTTGTCAGCAAGGAAAGAACACAAAAGCAGGCCAAAGAAGTTTCAAAATTAATACGGAAAAGAAAAGAGCAGAATATATTACTATCAAATGGAATATGGAGCAAACAATGTTTTGCACTACATTCTGAAAAATCAGATGGTGTTACTGACACTTTGTTTGACTTCATTAAAATTTACTGGTTTAAAATAATGCAAACCTGGTTTCTAATGAATTTGCCCTGGGGTAGACAATGCTGTTGAGGGATGGCACTTCAGGCATCTCTGAGGGAGACACTTCCAAAATACACAATTTGAGTCTCTGGGGTGGTAGGTGTTGGAGGCTTTGCATGTTCTTCAGTAGGAAAAAGATCGAATAACAGCGAATTACTTCCATCCATATCTTTTTATATCAAAGAACTCTTTTTTGGCTCTTTTTGCAAAACAGAATCCTGTCCTCTTCTTTATCCTAGTTTTTATTCATTTTTTTTTTTAAACATTTTAAAACTTTATTTCTCAGGCTATAGGGAAGTTTTTGTGACTTAAATTTCTAATTTTTCTTCTCAATTTAGGTGCAGTCTTTATTTGTCAAGAATAAAGCACTTACAATGTTTTGAGTTTCCTTATTATTATAATTTTTTTACAGAAAGTTCATCATCTGGATGTTCAGGTGCTAAGATCCCCTCAGTAGTATGAACACTTTTATAATTATGATCATAATCACCACGAACGTCATCACCTTTACTATCATCACTACAGCATCACCACCAGCACTATCATCACGACCACCACCCACCGTTCCTATCGCCACCACAGCCACCATTACCAACCAAGACCACCACCATCATCAGCACCACAAGCGCCATATCACTATCATTATCATTGTCACCATTATATCTATTACATGACCACCATCACAACCTATCATTATCACAAGAAGCACCATATCACTATCACTATCTTTGTCACCATTATCACCATTACATGACCACCATCACAACCTATCATTATCACAAGAAGCACCATATCACTATCACTATCTTTGTCACCATTATCACCATTACATGACCACCATCACAACCACGAGGAATCCTGGTGTGGTGCTATAGGATAAGCACTGGACCACAAGTTGGTTTGAATCACAAAGGCGGTGGTTCAAACTCACCAGCCACTCCTGGAAAACCCTCTACAGGGTCACTATGAGAGGAAACCAACTCCATGGCACTGAACAACAACAACATCACTCCCACTACCATTCCGGCCACTAGCTTCACTATCACCATCATCACCTCTACCACTGTCATTCCAGAGTTTCAGTGTGCATCACCATAGCTACTACCACAAGCACCATCCTGACTACTGCACCACTAATTCCCCACCATAACCTTCACTACATTAGCAGCATGTTATTGTTGTTGTTAGGTTCTGTACTCATAGCGACCCTGAATTGCAGACCTTGTGGTTTGTGGTGCAGCGCTGATCCTACAGTGTCACACCAGGAGTCAGCATAATTACCACTTATCAAGTACTTTCATTTTGCTAACACTTTTCATGCTCTATCTGGTTTAATCTTCCTAACATCCATACCTTAACGTAGATGTTACTACTGTTCCCATTTTTCTGATGAGAAAACGGAAGCATAGAGAGGTTAAGTAACTTGCTGAAGGTAACTTATACAACCAGTTTGGGGACTTGGATAAAGAGCCAGGCTGTCCGGTCTGTCCCTTAACCACCATCTCTATACCAATCTTCCCCACCCAACCCCAAAGTCAGATTTTATCCCCGGAGATTGACCAGTTCTAAAACAACTTCTATTATTATGTTGTCCTATTGTTGTTGTTGTTGTTACGTGCCATGGAGTTGGTTCCGACTCATAGCGACCCTGTATAGGGTTTCCGAGGCTGTAAATCTTTACGGGAGCAGAAACCCTCATCTTTCTCCTGTGTAACAGCTGGTAGTTTCGAACTGCTGACCTTGTGGTTTGCAGCCCGATTCGTAACCACTACGCTACCAGAGCTCCTTATGTTGTCCTCTAGGGAAAGCACATTTAGCTTAAAGAAAACTTTGTATAGTAATCTAACTTCCTACAATTGTGGAATCATTTTGCTAACATATAGAACCTCACTGAAGAGGCAGTTGAGGTAATAATAGTAAAAAAATTGCTAGTATTATGACTTTTTGAACCTTTAAGTCTTTCACCTCCTAATCTGAGTATATAGTTTATGAATGTGGTCTCCCAATCTCTTTCACTCCCATTAGGTTTTATTACCTCCTCCCCAGCACTGATGATTTATCATCAGTGATAACAGTTCAGATGACATTATCAGCCTAAGTGTTGATATTGGATGACTATAATTCACTTTGTGTCATTTTCTTAGGGTTTTCTTGGTCCAGATGGATATGGACGTCCAGGAAGAAAAGGAGCAAAGGTAAAACCAAATGCGTCACTGATAGGGTATTCTTAATTTTAGTTTTAATTTAATTTTACTTTGGATAAGAGCCATTTCCCAAGTGGTATGCCAGGAATGGTTCCTACACATTGTTTTGTTCTTTCCCTAAAAATTAAAACTGATTGTGTCACTCCCTTATTTAAAATTAAACTCCTTCCTTATCTTTCACTATGACACATCTTCCCACCCTAGCTCTCAGCATGCCATATCCAACTCCTTGTTTTCATTTGCTATGCTCTTCCCCACCTTCCCTATCTTGAACAATTTTAATTTATTTTTGTATGACCAACTCAAATATTCTATTTTCCTTGAAGGAGTATTCTTGGACTCCCTCAGAAAGGATGTGTTGTGCCACACTCTGTGCTCCTAAAGCACATGGTTCATGTTTCTGCAATAGCCCCTTCCAAGTAGACTGTGCTATAATTTATATGTCTACCCCGAGCTTCCTGACAGCAGGACTGCATCTTACTCACTTTTACGAACAGAGTATGACATACAGTAGGTGCTCAATAAGTGTATTTGAATGAACGATTCCTGTTTCCATAAGAAGCTAGTATTTTAACATGTGCTTAATGGGTCACTGTCAGAAGTTTTGAAGTATAGAAGTCACGTAAAGCTTGTTTTACAAATTGAATGTCAACAGTCACTCTCATTCTGGATATCTAATCTGCAAGTTATATTCATTGTCTCACAAAATAAATCATTGGGGTGTTCAGCTATTTGAGTATGTTTGGTTTCTGAATTCGCTTCTCTATAGTTCTGCAAGATGACTGCACTGCTGTGTTACTGAGTGGGAAAATACCCAAACAGTAAATTCATAGTAAATACCTGTGGAGTGATGGAACTTTAGAGGCACCTTGTTGTTGTTGTTAAATACTGTTGAGTCATTTCCGACTCATAGCAACAATATATAGGGTTTCCAAGGAGTGACAGGTGAGTTTGAACTGCTGACCTCGAGGTTCAAACTGACTTTGTGGTTCAGTGTTTATCCTACGGTGCTACACCAGAAATCTTGAGTGATCATTTAATCCAACCTTGTCCATTTATACCTGAGAAAATCAAGTTTCAGAGAGGTAAAATAGCTTGCCTCTTAAAGAAGGTCAATACTACTTTGTAAGCCTCTTTCACATCAGTCTATTCCCCCAAATCTGCAAAAGCAATATGTGCCTTCCCTGACAATAACAACATGGACAAAGCTGAGCTGCTCCCGGGGGTGGGACAGTCTGTGGGCTCTTGGCAACTGTGATGGGGTGGCTGCTCACAAGTGGTGCTCTGCACAGCCTGGTTTCTTTTGCACCCCCCACCTCTCCAGCCATCAGTTTCTCACATGCTCAACTGTTGTAGCTTGGTTTCCATTTGGCCAACTTTCCAAAAACATGGTAAACAGAATGACTAATAGTGATAAATGGAGAAAAACAAGTCACTATGTTTTAAAAGTTGACCATCAACAGATTTACCCACAGTTATAAAATGCATCTACTTTTAATTTATTTTCATCTGTGTGCCAAAAGTAATCAATCACCTGCAAGATATGTGTTCTTTGGATATTTCATTTGCCAAGTCAGTTGGAGACCAGATGGTAAAATATGGCTAGCCCATTGCAGTCACATTCTGGCAAACTTAGTCTTTCTTCTTTATGGGAGAGTATGTATACTAATAGGATTTGGGGTAGAATTCAACTGTGAAAGTTTTTAGTTGCTTATCAACTCTTAACTAAGCAAAGAGCAATCTATATTTTGACACTACTAAAATTGTGGAATATATAGATCAGTACACATTTGTATAGATTTTTCTATCCCCCTAACCTTTCCCTGAAGAATTCTGACAAGATACACTTATATGACCCTTAATGCTGCTTGCTCTCCCTCAGCCCCCATGAGATTTTCCTACTCTGTTCACTTACTCCTTCTCCACTCATTAAATCTTTCTCCTCAAATCTCCAAGACCTGCTCTATCTTGCACACTCTCAGCAGACCTGCATAACCATGCTTCCCACTTCATTAAGAAAATAGAAGTAATGAGACGAGAACCTCTAGATATTTCCACTACTGAGTAGATCAACATACTTGTCTATGTACCTGTACACTTGCTTTCTCTTCTGTTACTATGGGTGAGAATCCATGCTCCTATCTAAAACTGAAGGAACCCTGACGGTGAGTTAAGTGAAAGGTCAGTGGTTTGAACCCACCAGCTACTACATGGGAGAAAAATGTGGCAGTCTGTTTCTATAAAGATTTACAATCTCAGAAACCCTGTGGAGCAGTTCTACTTTGGCCACTATGAGATAGAATTGATTCATTGGCATTAGGCTTTGGTTCTATCTAAAATGAATTTCTCCTCTCATGGATTCCTTGTGTGGTGCTGTAGGATAAACACTGGATTGCAAGGTTGGTTTGAAACAAAGGTCGATGGTTCAAACCTACCAGCCACACGTCTGAAACCCTATACAGGGTTGCTATGAGTCAGAACCAACTTGATAGCACCTAACAACAAAGAACACAACTCATGGATTGGATTCCTTTTTTGCTTCCTCAAGACCCAGACTACTGAAGGAATTACTCCCTCCCACCCCCCCACCCCCACTCCCGCCTCGCATATTCATGCTTTCTTCCCTCTCTACAGATCACTGTATTAGCATATATAAAGAGGTGGGGATATCTCCCATCTTAAAAACAAAACAAAACAAAAACACTTGTCTTGACTATATACTGACTTCCAGACTAGCCACATCTCTCTACATCTCTCTGGAAAAAAAATCTTAAGGAGTTGTATATAATTAGTGATTCTCAATGTTTCAATGATTCATCATGTCTCCTGACATGGTGGCTGCCACAAATGGGGAAGGAAGTACTCCTGGATAGAGACTAGAGATGATGCTTAACATCCTACCATGCACATGGCAGCACTCCACAACAAAGAATCATCAGGTACCTTCAATTTATGCCATTTCAAAATGACAGTTTTGACATTGTTGAAGTACTCATAGATTGTGTTCCTTTTCAATGTTCTTTGAGTTTTGGGAGCAGAAAGAAGTCTGAAGGAGCAAGATCAGGGCTGTAGAGTGGATGGGGTAAGGTTTTCCAGTGAAATTCTCATAGGACAGCCCTTGCTACCCTTGAAGAATGAGCAGGTGTGTTGTTGTGATGGAAATCAAAGTCCTTGGTATGACTTTCTTGGCCTTTTTCTCACAGGTACAGTTTTCCATTTCTTAAAACTTCTTCCTAATAAACCCCATGAATATTCTGTACCTTCAATAAAATCTACCAAGAAAACTCCTTTGGGGTCCCATAAAAATCCCCTATAACTTTCTGAGCTAACTTCTCTGCCTTGAATTTAAGTGGACCATCAGGTTCCCTTGGAAAACACTGTTTTGACTGGACCTTACATTCTGGATCATATTGGTAAATCCAAGACTCATCCCCCATTATAATTTGTCCCAGAAAATTGTTATCATTAACTTCAATCTCATTTAAAAGACTGATGGAAAGATCAGATCTTTGAGCTAACTGACCTTCATGTAATGCTTTTGGCACCCATTGAGCCAAAAGCTTGCTGAGGCTAAGATGTATGTTGAAAATTAAAAATGCCCAACCACGTGAGATCCTTTTGAAGGAAGAAGTCCAAGGTGCACTGAAGGCATTGACAAAGGACAAGGCTTGGGTATTGATGGAATATCAATTGAAATCTTTCAACAAACTGATGCAACACTAGAAGCACTCACACAACTATGTCAAGACATTTGTAAAACAGCTACCTGGCCAACTGATTGAAAGAGAACCATATTTGTGACCATTCCAACAAGAAGTGGATCAAAAGAATGCAGAACTCATTGGACACTATAATCAATATCATATGCAAGTAAAATTCTGCTAAAGGTAATTTAAAAATAGCTGTAACAGTACATTGACAGGGAATTACAAGAGGTTCAAGTCAGTTTCAGACCTGACATTAACAGCCTGGTTTGTAACTACTACACTACCAGAACCTGGGCTTTTTAAAAATGATTTTGTTACATATTTGTTTTCTACTGTAGCCAGGAAGGAGCTCTGGTAGCTCAAAGTCAGCAACTCAAAACTACCAGCTGCTACATGGGAAACAGATGAGGCTTTCTGTTCCCATAAAGATTTACAGCCTCAGAAACTCTATGCAGGGTTGCTAAGAGTTGTAACCGACTCCATGGCACACCACCACCACTCTATCCAGGACCTTCTACTGTAATGCTGATCAGAGTAGTTAGTAGTTATAGCAGGACATCATCTAGTTTTTCTGGTCTGAGGCTGAGGTTCACATAGCCAGCCCATTAGTCATTTGGACTAATTGACTCCAAGTGTCTTAGATTTTCTTCATTCTTTCTTGCTTTGGATGGGGAGAGATCAATATTGCACCTAGATGGCTACTCACAAGCATTTAAGACCGCTTTTGTTACTCCCCAACATAAAATGTACAGGAGAGGCGGGGCTTGATGGTGGATTGGGGAGAAGTGCTGTGAGGATCTCTGTCAGCAATAACACAGAATACTGGATGAATCAGGTTCAGGAGACAGTTCCAGAACTCTGAACCACACATAAAGGAACATTTAGAAAGTTTGAAGGCTTACAGCCAGTGGAATTTGTAGCAGAAGCAAGAAATTTAGTGTTTTCAAAGATCCGCCAGGCTCAGCGGCTCCTGGAGCAGCCATCTTGGTGAGACTGCATGAGAGAAGGATCAGAGCAGCACAGTTGCCTGACGGATCCTTGGAGATAATGGTGTGGACATTCTTTTTTTGTTTTTGTTTTTGTATCTGTTCACAGGTCTCTCATTGTCTTGTGTACCTCTATTCTGATGATTAGACGGGGTGCCTCAGTGGACACTCCCCCTAACCCCCGGAGGGTTCTACTACACATATGTACAGATCTACTCAGCACAATTCAAAGGGAAAGGTCCATCTTAAAACCAAATAGCAGTGCAAAATGGTCATAGCTGGACCTGAACTGTTTATC